CTTAAAATCTTCACTATAGTCTTATAGCGAAGTTGAGGTCTAGGACATAGAGTTCGTTATAACAAGAGTTGACTGTAATTGGTTATATTCGTAAGATAATCTCTTAAAAAAAAATATGTAAATTATTTGTAAAATAATAATATGTAAGAAAATAATATAAGGAAATAATATGTAAATTACTTGTAAACAATTGTAGATAAATATTTCAAAGAATAAATATGCAAAAAATTCTAACAATGAATAATTATAAAAATGATTGTTATAGCAAAGATCAGTAGAGATTCAATTTTGAGACACATATAATTCTAATAATAAATCACCATTTGTTATTATTACAATAAATTCTGATTTCAATTATCTTAAAATAGTTTTTTTGCCAAATATCGTATTTTTATTGATAAAGTTCCATATCTTGTGAAAAAATAATTGTAAAAAAAGTAGCATGAAATAGTTTTCAAATTCAGTTAGCTTTTTAAATATTATTAACTGTATATAAATCGCTTTCTCCCTACAAAAATTTTCTCATAAGTAAAATTATATTTATTTTATAAAGTTAAATATCTTGAAATTACCTAATTTAAATTGGACGATCAGTTTAAAAGACCTATTTATATAGATTTTTGAATTCATAATTTTAAAAATTACTAAAATTTGCCTTTATATAAATTTATCAAAACCTATGTTGATAAGGCTATAGATAGGATGGCCCATTTTTTGCAGTGATATAATATATGCAGAAGTCATAATTTTTTTGCAATAGTATATGCTATTGCAGATTTAATTAAGTCTGCATTTTTTGCATACAGTTCGCATCACCTATATTCTACATAAATCTTACTTAATTTTAAAACTTTATAACTCTTAAAGTTCAAGTGTTATAAAAAATATAAACTACAAATATGAAACTTTGAGATATAAAGAACAATTTTTGTGGCATATTTTTTTCTGAAAATAAACTCATCAATAATTATAAGAGTTTGAAAACAGGTTATATTATTATTAAATTCAGGTATTCAGAACTTCAATTTTGGCCAGAATTAGCTGAGATTTTATAATTCTAGCCAAAATCAACGTAATCACGTGAAATATTGTGAAATGCTTTCATTATGATAATTAATGAGATATATGCATATCTACAGATATTTATGTAACATTCGTATAATTTGTAATTTTTCGTACCATTTCCTCTTATTTTATTATACCATAAAGGAATTTTAATGTTTTGTAATTAGCTTTTCCATTAAAGATTTCATTGCTTTCGGGCAATATTTTTTTTTGATGTTTACTCAAGTTTCTTTGAAACCTTCTTTTCACATTATCAGTCAAAGAGTTTTTCTCATTAATATTTATCAAACATGTGATTATTGTTTCATATAGAGATGCTGTAACCAAAAAGACTTTATAACGATACTACAACTAGAAGACTATTAGGAGAAAGTTGTAGTTTCCTAAAATAAATGGATCAAAAAGTTAAAATAAACAAAACAAAAATTGGTTTGAATAAAATGAACGTATAATTCCAAAAGTTGATGTACAATTATGTGATAGAAAGTTTTACTAGCAGTTTTTTTGTTTGATAAATTGTATTATTTGAATAAATTTGTCTTTGAATTATATCCAGGTTCACTTGAGTTTTTATTTGTATCCGTGACGAAGGTTACAGATAATCTATGTATTTATGGATAAATAAATCCAAATCTAATTAGCATTTTTTTCTTTTTGAAAAAATGGGTCATTTATTAAAAAAACATCACATTGCTTTAACAAAATCTCATGTTACTGATGGCATTTTTATTGCTGAAACTCAGAATGAAACAAATTTTGAGGAAGAAACTGAAGGTGCTAAAGATTTAGAAATTGAAGATTGGGGTAATGATGATGATAATGGATGGGAAGAGGATATCGATTTAAAGTTAACAGAAACTAATTATAAAAGGCTTTTGAATTTAGAATTAGTATAGAAAAAAGATGCTTATTTAGAACAAAAAACACATGGATCATATTTAACAGGGTCAACTAAAAAATCTACATTTTATGATAATTATAGACCAAGTGGAAAATGGACTAAGGCTGCAGAAAACACACCAAAATTAACTAGTTTTTTTAGCTTAAAAAATAAAGAAATAGTTGAAGGTGAAACAGATGATGAAAAAATTTTTATAGATGACGAATATGTATGGAACTTTAAAGAAATTGAAATTAAAGTTGAAAATTTAAAAGAAGAACTAAAGATCAATCAACATAAAATGTTAGTAATTGAATACAATAAAAAAAGAGCAATATTTGAAATGTTAAAACGAGTTAAAAAAGATGGAAAAGGATTAATAAAAGCTAGTACAGAAGCTGCAGAATTAGTTTTTATAGATTGTCATCCATATAAAGTGCGATGTATTAGAGTTTGGGCAAAATATTGGCTTCAAAATGCTCAACTTCCACCAACTTTTCAAGGTAAACATCAAAAAATCATCCGATTGATTGATGATGAAGACATATCAGAAAAATGTCAAATTTGGATTCAAAGTCAGGGAGGATATACAACACCAATAAAATTTAAAGAGTTTGTTGAACAAACTCTTTTACCAGAAACTGGAATTATTAAACAAAAAACTATTTCTAATTCTACAGCAAGTAGATGGTTAAATGTGTTGGGTTTTTTTATCAACAACAAAAATAAGGGGTATATTTTGATAGGCATAAAAGAGATAATGTAGTAGAATATCGAAAAAAATTTTTAGAAGAAATTGCTAAATATGAACTATATATAGCAAATTATGATGGAGAAACAATAGAGAGAATTCCACCAAATCTTAAGAATGATAAAAAAGAATATATTTTGGTAACACATGATAAATATATTTTTTATTCAAATGATAGTAAATGTGGTGTGAGAGCAAAAACAGGTGAATTACCATTGAGAAAAAAAGGAAATGGTCGATCAATTATGATAAGTGAATTTTTAACAGAAGTATGTGAATGGCTTAAATTAGATACTCAAGCAATTGAAAATTATCTCAAAGGAATCACGTGTTTATTTAATTTCTGGAAAAAATCAAGAAGGTTATTGGACAATGAACCATTTATTAGAACAAGTAAAATCAAAAGCAATTTCAATCTTTGAAGCATTGTTTCCTAATTGTATTGCTATATTTGCATTTGATAACAGTTCAAATCATGCTGTATTTTTACCAGATGCTCTTATAGCAAGCAAAATGAATCTTTTTCCAGGTGGAAAGCAATCAGTAATGCAAAGTACAACTTGGGGAGAAAATAATTATTAAGATATATGCTTTCCAAATGATTATTTTAATGAAAAATTATGCAGAAAACCTAAGGGAATGAAACAAGTATTTTTAAAAAGAGGAAAATGGAAGGATGGTTTAAAGGCAGATTGTCAGTTATGTAAAGCAGGAAATAAAGATTCTAATCAGATTGATTGTTATGCAAGACGAATTATATCCTTAGAATCAGATTTTATAGCTCAAAAAGATGCATTATATGAAATTATTTCAAAAGCAGGTCACAAATGTATCTTTTATCTTAAGTTTCATTATGAGTTAAATTTTATTGAAATGTATTGAAGAACTACAAAAAAATTTACACATGAAAATTGTGATTACTCTTGGGCAGGTTTACAAAAAACAGTTCCTTTAGGTTTAGATTCTATTAATTTAATTACAATTAGAAAATTTGCAAGAAAAATATGGCAATATATGGATATTTATCGTAAAGGAATTGGAGGAAAATTAGCAGAATATGCTGTAAAAAAATATAAATCTCATAGGCGTGTTCCTGATAATATTTTAGAAGAATTAAATAAAGTTGAAATTTGATTATATAAAAATACAATGATTTGATTGGTTAAAATATCATGTAACATCATGTGATTTGTGACATTATTGCTTTATAAATTTCGGACTATTGTAGAGTATAAGTGATTCGAACTGTAGTACTTTGATATTAAAAATTTAATATGTATAATAATTTTAAAGTTTATAATACATAATAATTTGAAAGTTTATAATACATAATAATTTAAAGATTTATAATATATAATAATTTGCAAAGTTATGATTATACATAAAACTAAAATTAAAATGATTGAAATTAATTTTGACTATTTATTAAAAAATTTGAAAAGTCAAAATTAATTATAAGGATTAAAATTAATTGTAAGAGTCAAAATCAATTGTGAAAATCAAAATACATAAAACCAGCCAGAATTATGATCACGTGTTATTACACAAATCCAAAAAAGAAAATTTTTGTCCTTGTGAAAATTGAACTAAGTATTATACTGAGATATTACAAAACTTCTAAAAAGGAAATTTTAATATTGATCATTTAATTCAGGCTGAAATAATAAAATGAAGACGAAACAGATAAATTTTACCAGAATTAAGCGAAAAGAAAAAGTAAAATAGATAAATAGATTTTATCAGAATTAATAAAAAGTTAGTTTAACCAGATATAGATATAGTAAGATATGAAGAAAGTGAATCACAAATTATAGAAAACTCTTTCTTGTTAGATTTTGTTCAAGAATTTTTATGTAAAAAACATATTCATTTAAAAGTGGTCACAGCTTAGTTTGCAAACAAAAACAAAAACTTCTCTTTTTAAAAATTTTTCTCTTTTTATTTTCTATATCTTTAACCAAAAAATATTTCATTATTAGTCCAAATGGTGGTATTTTTTTGTTAAAATATTTTTTTCGCCACTTCTTTCAAATATTTTTCTCGTTTATTTTTGTTTTTCTTTTTTGCCTACAAAAAGTAAGCATTAAGAGGTATCTGAAATGACGATTATGATTGATATAACTTTAAGCATAAACAAATCTCATGTAATGACTATCTAATTATCTTCATAAACAACAACATTCTTTTAAAGATCTAAACTTGTTGGAGTCAATTGTCTTTTTTAACCTTTCTTTTTCAGAAACTAATCTCAGGTTCGTTTGTTCTGAAGGGTGTTAAAGTTTTATTAATTAAGGAATTAGTAGTTAGTTAAAGGAAAAGCGTTGTAATATTGATAATTTTGCTAGCTTTCTTCATTAACAGATCGCTCATTAGAAATGATTTTAATAAGTTTCTTGAAGAGGATTATCAGTGATTGATCAGCTCAAATGGGCTTGAAATAGAGTCACAAAGGGTAGCTGCAATTTTAGTTAGATTTCTTATTTGTAATTTTTTATTTTGTTATTACTTTATTTATCTTACATTTAAAACGATAAATCTATTTAATAAAATTCGTAGCAGTATCATATCGTTAAAAGTCAAAAAAAGAAAGAAAGCCAATCACAGTTCACAAAAGACTATAGTTTCTTATTCGTCACTATTTATATCACATGTGTATATGTTTATGCAAATCATTTTCTTTTTAAATAATATCCATTCTACAAAAATTTAGTTTTTGGTAATTTTAGTTGTTACATAAAAATGTATTATATAACCTTAACTTTCAAATATAGAACTGTTTGCCTTATTAGAGTATGATTAACATTTTGATCCTCGCAATTAATTTTGACCTTCATAATTAATTTTGACTTTTAATTTTGGTCATAACCTTAAAGTCAAAATATTTTGACTTTTGGATTTTAATTTTGACTTCATGTATAGTTATGATATATAATAATTCAAAAGTTATGATATATAATACTTTAAAATTTTTCTACAATAACTTGTAAAATATATATTTTATAATTATTAAATTAATTAAAAAATAATGAATAAAAATATTAAATGTATTATTATTTATTAAAAAAATAAAAATAAAAATCAAAATAAATCTATCTAATTAAAAAAATTTGTAATATTTAAATTACTATATAAATAATTATTTAATTATATTATATACTTATTTGTTTATCACATTTTTTATTCATATACTTTTTGTGAACGTATTTTTTTTTATTTTTATTATTATTTATTGCATCATCTTACTTCATATTCTCCTGTATTTAAAATTTGAATACACATCTTTTTATGAAAAGTAAAAATCAATGTTTAATAAATTAAATCTGAGAAATAAATTTTACTAAATTAAAGTTTGTAGATAATGTGATTAGAGTATATAATATATATATTTTGATTAATTAAAGTTTGTAGATAGTGTGATTAGAATCTTTAATAAGTTAATATAATTTAAAAATTTATAATGAATAAAATTTAATTAAAAATCAAAAAATGTTTAAAATAAACTCTAATTAAAAAATTGTAAATAAAAAAATATTAAAGATTAATTTTGTAAATAAAAAATCTTTTAAAGATGAATTTTAATATAATTATGAGTATAGTTAAAAATCCTTAATATAGTTTTATCAATATGATTAAAAATTGAGTTAGATACAAAATTAGCCAATTAAAATTAACATGAATGTTTTAAAAAATTTTACTAAGGATTAGCAATTCTAGCTTAATTCATAAGATGTGGGTCCTTATTGTAGGTTATATTGTGATAGTCACAGGTTCAGACTTTAGCTAAAGCATAAAACTAGATGATTTTTATAAGAATTTCATATGTAACTGAACACATAAGCGTTTAGACTAATAAACATTAGATACTGATTAATCAATCTGTCAATTGATATTAATCATGCCTAAATACTGGGTTTAAAGAATATGTGGATGCAAATGAAGTCAGGGATCAACAGAAACTTGGCCTTTGCTGACAGGTCTGTAATGAATACTGTCTCATATCTTCAAATTCAAAAGCCCTTACACAAATAAATAAGTGATTAACCAGTAATTAGTAGATTTAGGTTCACTGTAAAAGAGTATAATGCCTAAGATAATAATAGACTGCATTGTATGCTGCAGTATCTTCCAAATAAAATCATCACTAGGGTTAGAGACTGGGTTTGATTTCCAGATGAATTTGATGCTATGAGTACAAAACTACCATCTATGTAAAGGATCTGATATCACAGTC